ATTAAAAGTAAGGCAAAGGAAGGAAAGAAAGAAGATACCCATATAAAGTGGAAACATCATTGGGAGTGGAAGAGACAAACAAATGTTATGTTCAGTAACCCCTCTTTTTTTTTTAAACAAAAGTATCAATGTATCTTTCCGAAATTTAGCACAATGTATATGTGTTTGTGGGAATGAATTTTGTATTTAAAAATACCTTTAAACTTCAATAATTGAGGTCATGACACACATGGGTTTATGGCTTTAAAGATAAAACAGAATCACAAAAAGTTTAAGGACTAGCATTGTTCATGTTCCGTGTCCAACTGAGCATTCAGCTTCAGGCTAATGCAGTTATTAAAAGTACTGACTTTAATTCACAAGCAGGACTGAAATAAGTAGGATTTCAGGTTCTCATGACATTAAGTATCAAGACAATCATCTTCAGTTCTGAAATGTTACAAATTGCACATTAATTTTAAGTAGGGCATAATTCAGTGTACAGTAAAAAATGGTGAACTGAATTCAGAAATCCAGTGTCCAGAGTGGTACCACTTGTTTTACAAAATATAGGAATCTAATTACTTTAATTCTTGAAGCAACATACCTGGAGTAATTTGTTGCCTTCTGCCTCTCTGCGTACATAAGGGCGCACTAGACCATCTTGCTGAAAGAAGCGTGGCGGTCGCAGCCTTGTTATCTCGTCACTCATCTCAGCTGCTCTGTAACAGATTTGTGGCTAATGAATGAGGTTTGTCACTAAGCAAGTGTACGTCTTTATTCCAACAACATTCTGGATATTTCATACGTATGCCCTTGCTTCTGTCATTTCCAAAACACGTAAAGAATGAAATTTTGTAGAACAATGCCATGCAAAGGAAGACTGTAGTGAAAAGTATAATTATTACCTGACATATTCCCATAATCTGAAACCTATAGAGTTCAGTTTTATTCCAATGTATGAAAAGAGATTTGGTAAGTGCTGTAATACTGTGAAATGAAAGCAAGAAGTTAATAATGGCAATGATCGATCCACTACTTTCTAAAATCCTAACCTGCCATTTCCAGTCCAGTTTAACAAACTTTGTTTTGATAATCAGTGACCTATGCAAGTACATGTCATTTTGCAAACCCCTTTCCTTATCCTGACCTTTCACAAACACCAAATCCATCCCAGGGCAAACATCCCGTAAAAACCTTCTATTGTCCTTCCAGCTATATTCCTTTCTACTTTGAAATTTACAACACACTCCAATGTATCTATAAATCAGAAATAAAAAATTTCACATTTGAACATAATATTTGATCTTCAAATCTAAAATTACTATGTAATGTCTATTAATTTTTTCACTGCTACTTATTTTATTTAAAGTACTGATATTAATATATAATATATTAAGGAGTATTTCTGCTGGGTATTGAAAATTATATATTTAAATTCACGAACAGAATTCAACAAACATACCTCTTCACTGCATCAAATGAGCCACTTGCAAAATCAATGACCCCAGCTGTAGGTCGAGTCACGAGCCCCATGACACCCTTTCCCACACCCTTGAAGAACCCTTCGACACCCTCTTGCTTTGCTCCAGATATTGGCTTCAGGAACACACCTGATACGCCATCCACAACACCCTGTACAATAAAAGATGAACAAAACTACCTTTATCTTAATGCAGTTTATTTTGACAATGCATTATCTACTAAAGATCATATATATACACACACATATACAACAATTCTTTTGTTTTGCCCAGACCCAATAACAGTTAATACTACTGACACGGCTAATGTGTTTGTGACAATCAGAAATCTACAGCTGTGTGTCAGGAAAATTGGTACAGCCAGAACTAAATTATAGTAGAAAGGTAAGGTACGATTTATAAATCTGCCAATATGTATACCCCGGAAGGAATGAAAACTTGTATATATCAGCAAACTCTAAAATAATTAATTGAACTGCATACAGCCGACACAGCATTACCCACAGTTACTCCCTCTGCACGTACAATACTATTGCAAATATTGACAGCCAACTAAAAGTATTATATCACCTTTTATCTCCAGGTATTACAAAAATCATGAATCAGCTAATAATCTAGAACCCTTCTAAATACCAATCAGACAGTAACAGCAGTATTCATCACTCTGAACTGTAAAATAATAAAGGATGAACATCCTCCTCTAATAAAAGTTGGTACTCATCTCTCTGTGGTGCAAGATTAAAGTGCTACACTTCTATACAAGTGAGATCATTGAAACTGTGCAGTACAAATGTCTTAGTGAAGGTGGATACCAGTACAAATTATGTGTTCAGTAGGTTAGGTTCCGAGGCTTCTCACATCTACAAGCAGTGAGTGAAAATTCAGCCAACTTTCTTCATTACATACCACTGCACAGTCATTTCTTTTTTCACAAATATTTCAGAGATCTTTGACATAAAATAAGAGAGGTGATTTCAAATTCATTTGGCACTAAAAGTTGGATAAACTTTAATTTTTCTACCTCCATAAGCACATTCCACAGCGATTCAAGAAGTACGTACTGCAGATTACATACATGTCTAGTCATTACAAGCCACAAATGAAGAGTAAAAAAAGAACAGGCCTCGTATCGCCTCCAATCGCATTTTTCAACTCCCCAGCCGAGAAGACGAAGCCGTACTTGCAGCTTCAGGAAGTCCCGCTGGCTGTAACATGACTACATTCACCAACTGTCGGAATACACTGAAGTCACTGTTGTGCCACCTCCTTGACAAAACTAAACTAGCTATAGCAACAGATCTTGAAACATTCGTTCTCCTTGTTACAGCTTCTTTTTCCATGTAAATGCTTACACAAGTTATATGGTATATTTTAAAATTAAATTAAATTAGAAATATAGACAGAGCCATTTCACTAACCATAACAAGACCCTTGCCACTTTGTGCAAGTCCCATCTGTACATTTGCTGGACGCTGATTCATTGCTTCACGTCTCTTGCGCTGATAATCCTTGTCAAATGATAGTGCAGCAATGCCCTTCCCTTTAAGACAACATGAAAGTACCCATCAAATCATGAAAATAAATGCTACTATTAAGGTGGCGACTGACTTGTAACATTTACTCGTAATGTAACATTCGCGGCGAGCATGTTACATTACACCACAACTGATGAGGCGTATCGAATGATCGTTTTGAACGCTCGGCTCGACTGTGCTCGTGTGCGCTCCATTCATTTCATTCAATATGTCGGACGTGGAGGTTGTGTTATCTTTGTTCCATTTAATACGCTACTCTTATCTAAAGAACTCGTGAATGCTCGTTACGACGCCGCTCGACTGACTGACTGACTTGTAACGTAACACTCAAAGGGATTCGCGAAAAAACCGACAACATGATGGAGCGCCCGCGAGCGTCTCACATCGAGTGGCTCCGTTCGCTGTCTTCACTTGTGTAATGCTCGATTTGTAACACGTTACATTACAAGTCAATCGCCACCTTTATACAAAACCATGTACATCTGAAACTAACACAATTTAAGTCAGTTTTAGACCCAACAGCATCTTCTATTTTACAAACATATGAGGGTACGCTAAATAATATCTACAAAGTGTTTGAGATTTATCAGATAAGTACTGAAATTTATCAGACCAACTACACATTGCAGTAGGCAGTACTTTTCCACAGAGAACTGTATACGTGTGGACTGACACGTTCCAAAACGGGCAAACAAGTGTCACTAATGCAGAACGAGACCATTCTTGCCCACTGATGACTGAAGGGAACTCTGAACTGTTCAGTGCAAAAATTGAGAACAAGAGAATGATAACTACCAATAGGTAGGGGTGACAACTTTTGTCGGGGCAGACTGCAATTTTTGCTAATGCTGGCCCTGAATATAAGTAACGAGTAGAACATCTTTTGGACTCATATCATGAGGAAGGTGACCGAGTACTTTCTCATCAGTCACTGGAAATAAAACATGAAATCCACCACTAAGAGCCTTGAAGCAAACATAAAAGTATGACATGGAAACACATATGACATCCCTCATCAAGAATAGGTTCAAATCTCTAATAGCAGTCAGAAAAGAGATGCTAGCACATTTTCGGGATTTTCCAGGGCCAGTTCTTGAATATAATCCAAAAAGGTGTGTTATAACACCATGTGCTACTGAGAGATATTGCATGATGAGATGAAGCTATCAACAGATGTTCTGTTGCTGCACGATAGTACCTATACTTTGAGATTCCTAAACAGCCACCACGCACACCTGACCTTGTCCCATCGGACTTCCACCTGCCTAGACTACTCAAAAAAGCTTTAACGGGCCATTTTGCCAATGACAAGGTGTTGAAACAGGTAGCGCATACCTGGCTTAATTCTGAAGGCAAACAAAAGTTTGTGCAACGGTGAACCAAGTGAGTTCAAAAGAATGGAAACTCTAATGAAAAATAATGCACTTGTGCATTTAGAGTTGTCATTATAAAAATATAATGTGGATAATTATTGACTTACTTACATCAGCAGTGCATATAGTGCAGTGTTTGATCTGAATGTCAGTTCCTGGCATTGTATGGAGCCTAAAGCACAGGAGAAGAGAAAATCTGTGCTGGTTCTGCCAAGTCTTGGACTTTTCTGAAGGGTACTTGGAATGCAGCAAAGGACAATGACAAACTTGAAGTGCAATTTATGTGTTACACAATGCTAATAATGAAATAAAATAAAAACTTTCCAAATATTTACACATAGGACAGTGTGTTCTTGTAATATAACCTCACTGCACTCTCTGGACCAAGCAAAAATTACCAGAGTACAATTTTACAGCTTACATAAATTTTCATCTGCAATGCTATTTATGTAACTACAAATACAAATATATAAGTGTAAACTTAAAACAAATGTTCACCCATAGCTCCAGTTATGCGAGAAACAGCACCAGCAGCGCCACCAACCGTGTGTCCAAACAAACTTCGTACACCCAACACCAAACCCTCCGCAAATTCACCTGGTCCCTGGATGGCTCCCTGGAGGCAGATTATATTTGTGCTGTTGTATTATCACATATAATATGGACTCAGCTTCAATGTTTTATCTTACAATGTAATATTATCACAAATGCCATAGCTTCTTCTTCTTTTCCCAAAGACGTCTCCATACCGTGTGGGTCACCTGACAACCAAGGCTCTCCATCTATTTTTGTGTCATCCCATAGCTCCTTCTCCTCAGTTTCTCCTCATTTTCTTCCCTTCTTCAGTGAGGTATTTTTGCTAACATGTTGCTCCCACTTTGATCTTGGTCCCTCTCTTTCACGTTCATACACATATTGCAACTTAAATAGGTTTTCTACAAAGGATCACTGCATAAACACAAATGGAATGCCATGTGGCAACTACTGCATACCACAATTGCATATCCATAAACAATTAGTAACAGAACATTTCCACGTCCGTCTTCAACGGAAACAAAAATTTGGAAATACAGAATCATGTCTGATGGATATTACATCATTATAAAATTCAAACGCAGACCAGATCTAATGACACCAACCTTCAGAAACTATGCAAGTTCATGGCAACACTAATAAAATGTTGACAATTACTCTTTTGGAAGTGTGTCAATATTGGAGTTGTGAGACATACCACAGTGATATTTTATGCATTTGAGGTGGTCTTCATGCTCTAGTGTGAGCGAAGGGTTGGAACACATTACACCACTGCAATAGGAACTGAGGTCCTTGTTGGCTGACAAAGACCTTGGATCACATCTCAGCAATGGCACTGGATACTACTGTCGCATCTGTTATTCCTTTCAAGTAGGGGTAATGTAAATCCACAGCTCCTTTGAGCTACAGTCAACAACATAGCAACCTGCTGACATCACCATCCATGATGTGGTATGAAGAAAACCCATGGAATTTCAGTTTACTCCAAAGAATACATCTTTTCAATCTTGATTTTTATGTGAAAGCGTAAAAAAGCCTCCAATTTTGAATAAAAACGAAATATAAAAATGTCTCAAAATAAGCAAATACTGTACGTTCTTCTACAATGCATCCTGTTTTATACTTACTAAATTTAAGTAACAAATTAAAATGCCAGAGATTTATTTATCAAGTCAGAGAACGTATACTCGATACCTGGAAAGGTTCGTAGAAGAGATCCTCTACGCCCTGCGTCAATCCCAGCACGAGTCCGTAAGGGTTGCCTATAACATCCAAACCCAACACCAGCACATAGAGCTGTTTCACAGACTGCCCCACATAGTGCATTGTGACTTCTGAGATCAGCTGGTGCTGCGTCAGGAATGAATACTGCCGCTCAAAGTACGCCAATCTAGACAACAGATATTCATCGACTGTTATCACAGAGAACATGGAACCCAACAGATTAGAATAAAATATTTAGCCCCTTGCACCATAACAAGGTATCACAGACTGTACTGTGCTTCAACATCTTATAGCCCCTTGCACCATAACAAGGTATCATAGACTGTAATGTGCTTCAACATCTTTATCTCGCTGCAGTTCCTAAATAACGATGTCTGAAGTTTAACCTTTCTGGGTGTCTAAAAATCCATTTAGTTTCAGTATCTTAGTAACAGCAACCACCAGCTTCCGTATGGAAGTTATACAATTATTCTGTTAGTCTTTCTTGAAATTAAATTTTCCAACCTAAATGAATACTGAAACGGCTTGACAAAATTAATGAAAAACTGTTCGGAAATTCTCAATATGTCACATGCATGCAGAGGACAGACATATATGATTTTAGTTAAGTGATCTGCAGGGTTACCAACAAACATAAAAGAGGGGGAAATGCACTGATTATATAGCCTTTTATACTTTACTTAGTTAAGTGATCTGCAGGGTTACCAAGAAACATAAAAGAGGGGGAAGTGCACTGATTATATAGCCTTTATATTTTATTTAATAGTTATCTTGATTAAAATTATATACAGAAACTTTGAAGTAAACAGAAATAATGTTACCAATTGTTATTTTTTAGTAAGAAGCTACTTCAATAATGAAACCATTCAAGCAACACTCTTGGCTGCAAACTGCTAGCTCAGCTTCCCGTTCTTCTCTCAGTAATTAGTGTATTTCACCTGATCTCAGGAATTTTGGTAGAGTGATGTGGTCTGTCTTTAGGGGTATATGGGCCACAGGTTACAAGGACACTAGAACATCATAGGTCGGTTCACAGACTTGGTACGACATACAACTGACGACACACAGAGGTAGGAGAACAACGAGGACACTTCTAAACATAACACAAAAACTATCAATATATGAAAACACATATTTAGTGCATTTTCATACTACTTCCTTCATCGTTAGTCTACAAAGGCATCTAACAAAACTTCTTAGCTGGAGCTGATTTTACCTACAATGATACTATGTCACAATTCAGACTGAAATACGGAAATAAGCAACGTCTTCACACCTCCAGTGATTATCATACAATGAGATCAGGAGGGTAGCATTCATACTTCAATATCAAAGTACCAAACTCTTCCCTAGTCCAAGCAAGTATTTGAATCTTTGGATCTTATTAGTGCTGTTCTTGTGCACCTTCAACTGATTTCTTGGTAAAAACAAACTGAATTCATAGTGTGCCTGGTTTCTATTGGTCAATCCATACGAAAGATTTTTAGCTCCTAGACACCAAGTCGTAAGTAAAACTGTCATTAAGACACGGGGCTTGGCCAAGGGGGTGGGTGAGTGAGCTGTCAAGTTTCAAACGAAGGGACATTTAAAATTTCAGTACAGTTTGTCATGTGGCATAATTATTTGACACACTTTTGAACTGGGCACCGCTGTTCATGATGTACACTCTGTAGCTCTGAGTTTTAAGGGTGTCTTCCTTGGAAGAAGTCAATTTTCACCCTTCATACATGTTTTCTGTTCCAAGATAATTTTGAACAGAACAATAAATCCAAGAAGTTTCACACCAGGGTGCTCACCTGACTTTAAAGCCAGGACATCTGCCTAGAAAGCCTACGTGGAAAAAAGTGTGTGTGACTTCATCGAAGACTTGATAAAAATAATTACTGTGTTATCAATTTTAAAGTATTTAATTTACGAATAGATATTTGTGCTATTAATTTTTGTTTTAATTTCCCCAGTGAATTTCAATACGCTTCTTTTCTCAGTCTTGCATCCAATTTAGGTGGTTCCTTCAAAAGTGTAAAATATAAATTTTACTAAAATTAATTCAGAAAGAAAAGTAATGAAGACCAACTTATAGCAGAAAATATTGTCTGAACTCTGAACTATATATATATTTTTATAAAACAAACTTTGACTTACCTATATATTTGACAAAGTTATCAACAAAAGAATTTAAGGATGGCACTGAAATGCAATCTGAGGAGGAAATCTAGCTCTCCATCTGAACTTGGCACATTCTATTCAATTAACATGAATTAAATACAAGTGCATTATTCATGACTGGAGATAGAAATGAAATTATATGAAGCTGTAACATCTTGTTCTCCATTTTGAATACAGAAACACTAAATAAGCAGAACTTACTTAAACACAACATCCTGTACATCAGTGAGAGTAACTCCCAGACTCTGTAGCAGGACATTCATGAACTGAGGTGTTTCTTGCCCTAGGGCCTTTGGTCCTGACCCCCCACTCAAAGAGAAGCTTAGGTGGATCTAGACACAACACAACTTATTACATACATACACAAAAAACATTGTTTCTTCACAAAGGTAAAGATCATATCAACTTTGTTTCTGAAAATATGGTCAGTGTTTATGATTGGGCTTGAGATAATATTAAAACAATTCATTGTGTTGCTGATAGTAAAATGTGCATGGCAGATGGAGGAACATTCTAGGTTAGGTTTCCTACTGGAATATTTTCATATTTATAATATATAGTTTTTGTGGACTCAAAATCAAATGTTCTTGACATAACTTACTTATTTTATTCCCAGACACAGGAACATGATAAATCTTACTGTAGTTGCAAAACTTAACCCCTTTTAAGAACATGAAAGAACACTGCCCACATGGTTACAGTTGGCAAGCACTGAATATTACTAGTATTTTATAGATGTTTAACAACTAACCTTGAGTGGGGAAAAGTGAAGGAGATCATAGAAATTCTTCTGCTCCTGGGTAGATACAAGAGTAACATGAGACAGAAGTGGCTTATCCACTAACTGTCGATCTTCCTCAAATAGCCGCATCTGCAATATCGTTGCTGTATAAACACTCCTTATACTTCACTCATATCAGGATATTTTTGTCTTACGGGAAATTGGGGCAGAAGACTATTTGGGTAACCTGGTTTCTGCTCCAAAAATTATCTGGGAGTCTTGATTCTATTACCACTTACAAACAGAACTTCCATCCACTTCTTTAAACTGCATCGATCTTCACCAAAAAATGCATTTTTAAAATTAGATATACAGGATTAAATTTCTAATTTTATGGATTATTTTTACAAACCAGAATCAAACATAATTTGAATTACATTTCTATGAGACTTTTTAAACTTTCACAGTGGTTAAAATCTGGAATGTGGTAGCTGACAATGGGAGCATACAGTTCCCCTCAAATGCTGTTAATCACATACAAGAATGTGTGGTTTTTACGCTAACTACCATCTGTAACTTCTGTTCTAAAACTTTCGAGGACTAACTCAGTTCTTCCTGTCACTAAGTTACATTTTCAATGTTATTCCTCAAAAAGGTGCTAAGCTCAGATGACAAAATCATAAAAGTCACACTTCATGTGTCTGGCAATGTCTGGAAATTCTGGACCAAGATCCCTAGCAACAGTAAATAAACCTGGAGTAGAGCATACGCACCTCTTCTGCCTCGGACACCTCCTCCGCCTCAAACAATTCAAGCAGAGCATTGATGAAGCCCATATCCACCTTCACATGGAATTCCTGTATCAGGACCTTGAAATATTTGAACTGCTGCACTTTGCTATGTGGCATTATACGCTGCACGATACTTAGTTCCGCAAATGGCTTCAGTGCTGCCAACAAAGTAACAATGGATCTTACAGAAATAGAACTGGTGCAGGATAAAATAGAATGACACGCCTTTAAGATGATGGTTACATAAAAGAATGGAATATCTTGTTCACACGAATAACTCTACTGCTTAAGGAAGAGACTTGTTATTATACAATTCTGTTAGCCATCTTGTTTAATAAATAATTTAAGTAAATAAGTGGGAGAGAAATACCAGACTCATTTACGTATCATACATGAAGAATGATTTAAAAAATAATGACGGAATGCACTAAAATCTTTGGTAATCAGCTGTGTCAGTATGAAATAAGTTTCCACTGTTTCAAGGACCATCTCTACTTACTCCATTGTGACAATAAATATATTTATATATCATACAAAATAGCAGTTTCAGGTGAATGTTTGAAAGACCTGAGTACTTAATACAATGTCTTTTAAATTGCATCAGTGGCAGTGGAAATAATATGGAATGGCACTTCCAGTAAAAGAAATGCTACATCACACTTCTTTTTAAACATATATAAATACAAAGTCTCTCTGAGCCTGAATGCCCGAACTGAACTTCAAATACAGTTCCAGGATCCCTACTCTCTCAATATTTGTTCATTCTCATGTAGAAAATCTTACAAGTGTCCTTTGCAATATAAAACAATAAGAATACACTTTTTCACAATTTGAAAAGAGGGTGTAATCAGTGGAGGTTTATTTATAAAAAGTAACATCAATATAAGGTCCTCCAGGTTGGGAGTTGGTCGCAAGGCTAACAACCTTGCACCGTAAAAAGGAAGATGTTTCGAAACCCCAAACAAAGCCTCGGATAGAATGGACCTAACAATAGGACCGAATGGAAGAGGAGAATTGAGGAGGCCATGGACCGAATACGAACCGGAGAGCCATAGAAGAAGAAGAAGAAGGTCAATATAAACGCACCACTATCAGCAGCAACACTCTTGGGTGGAGGGACTGGAGCAAGCACAACTGGGAACACACAATCATACATCTGATCATCGACCTGCAGTCGGTTCACTTTGGCATGAAGCTGCAACTGATGTGGCGATGTCTTCATCTGAAACCACAAGCCGGTCTGGAATGTGCGGCGAAGTCGACGCTTGAACGGTCGTAACATCTCCTCATTCTCAAAGTCAACCTGGCAACAAGGGAAAATTCAACCATTCATATTATGTTTTGATCTTTCAAAGCTGAATCATGGTTTATATAAAAGCAGTAGTATGATTAAATGCATATCAGCTGCAGAAGCTATTTGCATCTGTATGCCGAATACTCTTCCTAGTATCAGTTCATGTGTAGTAATGCCAACTGACAGGTTTCAGACTTTTGGTTCCTTATAACAAATCACACAGCCAAAGATTCTTGTACAACTGTTTTAAAAGACAGAGAGAGGGGGGGGGGGGGGGGGAGGGAGAGGAGATGTGTCTACTCGTGTATTTCACTATGCTACATAAACTGATAAGTTTTTATGCATACAAAATCCATTATGTTGTCTAAATGATGGAGAAAAATTTAGAATGAGTGGTATCATGGGGGGAAACAAAGAAGGAAATAAACCTGCCATGTACATGAAATACAAAACAAAGATCAATCAAACAAAAACCTAATAAATGAAAAGGCTGTTCTTTGATATGTGATAACTCTGAGGTAATTTATGTAATACATCAGCAACAAAATCTACATACCCACTATGCCACTGGCTTATATAAGAACTAAACACAGCAAAGTGGAAACCCATCCATTGTCATAAAATTTATACTCAAGACGCCTACACTGGAACTTTGCTTCTCAATGCAACTTCATATTATTCTCATCTTGCCCTCAATTTTAAAAAGTCTACACATTTCTGTAGCTAAAGAAATTTTATTTTTTGTCCTGATTAAACACAAAATAAAGAAGTTTAACTGTAGCTAAATATGTTTTTTTTTTACTTCAGTTGAGGACCAGCTACTAAAACAGCAGAAATAAACTCCCAATCCGTTAAAACGCACTAATAATGGACACATTAAATGATGAAAAGTGCTGATAACAGAAAGTAAATAGGGAGTCAACATGACAATAATTGGCACAACTATTAATATCAGTCTAAAAATTCACCTCAGTCTTAGAATCAACAAGTACTCTAGTGTTAACAGCCTTCCCCACATTAACTTCCATGTTGTAACGAACAAACGCCTCCTCCACAGCAAGGCAGTCCTTCACACTCAATGGTTTGAAACGCTGTTTGTTCGACTTGCACGTCTCCCAGATCACGCCCGAACTGTAACACAGTACAAATATGCCTATGAGGAAGTAAAACTTCCAGACTAGTGGTTCACAACAGCCAGAATCCACATTATCCTGATTTTCTGTTTCATGCTGCAATCCAAAATGATAATATATGGCACAGAAACCTATCTATAACAAATACTGGACTATAAAATATAATGCACAACATTCATATTTGTTGTAACATCTCCAAAATGTCCATTAAAAGTCCAAGAACTTCAATCTAGTTACACAGTTTCACTATATCTTTAAGTTCACTGATCTGAGAGAGTCCTTTTAATTTTAAAACTTCAAAGCAAGTATAAAATTTCACCTACAGTATTTACTCGCTTCTATTCTGTTTCTTACCTGGCAATGCCTATGTACATAACCTCAACACGAGACACATTATTGATGAGTGAGAGACCCAGGCCATGTACTGAGACAGTAATTTCCTTGTCAATGGTCTCAAGTTCTCCAGCAGACTGAGCATCACGAGCAATGCTCATGTCCAGAGTGAAAAGCAATACTCTCTGCATCCCATCTAAGAACGACACCCACCACATCTGCTGATCTTCATTTTGTTGGCACTCCCCAATACCATCCTACAGAGAGCAACAGAGTTGAAAATTAAACGCAGCATACGTAAACTGGACGGCCGAGAGAGGAATAAGCCCCAGACAGGTAAACAGACTCAGTCACACACACAAGCAGAAGACAAAAAAATCAGTCATTTCAATCTCACCCAGACTCTTGACATTTGGGGTTGTAATTTCATGTCATTACGTAAGCGGTTATCAATGTTTTTGAGGAACCTGCTGCTTCCACATTTACCCTGGCTAAATTCTCCTACTTTGCCGTCCTAACCAATTTGCAGCAATTATCAACACAACAGACTAAATTGAATCAACTTGGTGCAAAAAGTATGTTAAAATGAGGGACACAGAATCTGGGCACTTGGAGGACAAAGTCCAGAGGAGAATACCTGGACCAAAGACAGAGGATAAAATAGGATGATGGGGAAAACTACACAATGAGGCACGTCATCCGATCAGATCAGTAATTTGTGCCTACAGTGATTAAAGCAAGGATGAGGTGGGGGACCACGTAGCATGCATATGGTAGATGAGAAACCTAAACAAAATCTTAGCTGGAAACAACAACACAAGAGACCACACAGAAGATTCACACACAGTTTATGAGACTGTATAAAAATGGACATTAAAATATACAAAGTGCAAAGCTATGAAGTGAGCCAACTGGTACAGTCAGGGTCCAATGGAAAGCTCTTGTTAAGACAGCAATGAACCTTTAGATTCCATGGCAAAAACATAAATTATACATTAGATTCCTGAACTACAGCCTCTTACAGGAATGCAACATATGATGAATGGATTCAATAATCTTCTTTTTCTATTGGTATATAAACCTGCAAACTCAGAAACTAAAGCATTCAGTACCAACCAATATTATAAAACAAAAACAAGTCAGAACAGTAGTATACTTTCTTACTGTTAGAAAAAGTATAGACTGAAAATCCAAAACTTCTCATCTCCGCCTGAAGGAAACATTAAAAGTAATTAATGCGCTTACCTTTCTTAGTTCATCTGTGATCTCTTTCTTTTTGCCAGCATTCCAGACAACACAGTGAGACCCAGTGGGATTCTCCCAAGCATAGAGCAGCCTCTCACGAGGTTGTAACGTTCTGTAACACACCACCATACCCTCTCAAACATGCAAAATGGTTTCTGAAGGAAAAATATTAGTTTCGTAATTTACCATTTTGTGGAATCCCAAAATAAAGCAATACAGGCAGCATATTTAAATGCATAATTATTCGGAAGACGTACACAGCTGCCAATATTACGGTACATTTCATGTAGTACCAGCTTCCTACAACCATTCCACATTCTCCTTCTGTGACACAAAACATATCTACATAGATGAGATATTTATTCATAATTATATTAGTTTATTATAAACAATAAATATGTAAACGTAAAGTAAAGCTGTCCCACTATAAACCATGTAGGCGCTTGGGTAGGCAGGAGTGAATGGTCAGCACCACGCCCTGGCCGTGCTTTACGCCTGGGACAGGATCCCGGTACCCATCGGATAGGAGGCTTAGTGAGTCCCAGTACCGGTCTGGACGCAAATGCTAGAGGAAAAATCCTCTGCTCCCGTTGGGGATCGAACTCTGGTCATCCAGTCCATAGCCAGTCACTATACTGACTAAGCTACGCCGACTCACCAATAAATATGTAAATAACTAATTAACAGCAAAGCACTGCAGTTATATTTATATCATTTGTATGTTGTTCTGTTTACTCACAGTTTCAATTACTTAGAATTTTACATTTGGATTGTATGGAACTTACATATTCTGACCAAAAAAGTTACATTTATTTCTTGTGTGTACACTGACACTACTTCCTTGTATAGCAAATGTGCATATTTATTTTTAAAGGCTGACTAATTCAATAGAGCAATATACAGTGTATAATAGAGAGCCTATTCCACTAATAATTTCAACAAGTGCAATCTTAAGGTGGCGACTCACAGGACAGGGATGTTACTACAGAACAGGTAACATCTTGAGGCGACACACAACCAAACAGCTTGAAATGTCATTAATTAGCCTCCATAATGAACAGGACTTATTGCCATATTTAATGGCATAATTATCAACTTATTCTTCTTGTAATACTGTAGTTAAAATTTCCAATCAAAAGATTACGTGAAAGTTGATAAACCAGCTAGTTGTGGAAAATTTTCAAACACTTAGTGTACCCGACGATATTACAGGTACACATTTGTCTGAAAAACGACAAGGACATCATTGCTTCTCATTTCAGTACTTCACGGCTCTATCATTTTAGTCATGTAATTTCTTGCACGGTAGAAATGCAAGGAATGTGGTAATAAATTTTCTTTTCCTTATTTAAACATTTAAAAATAAGGGTGTGCGAATAAAATAGTGGTGAGCAATATGACAGTACTGTGGGTATCTAGCCATCGTTATTGTATAGCAAAAGTAGCGGCTAAACTAGAAAGTAGTAATTTTTTTAGAGGATAAAAAATTGTCTTTGGTAAGTAAGGTGCATGCTGTGTGTTCAGGCTCTTCTTAAGGTGGCGACTGACTTGTAACATTTACTCGTAATGTAACATTCGCGGCGAGCATGTTACATTACACCACAACTGGTGAGGCGTATCGAATGCTCGTTTTGAACGCTCGGCTCGACTGTGCTCATGTGTGCTCCATTCATTTCATTCAATATGTCGGACGTGGAGGTTGTGTTATCTTTGTTTCATTTAATACGCTACTCTTATCTAAAGAACTCGTGAATGCTCGTTACGACGCCGCTCGACCGACTGACTGACTGACTTGTAATGTAACACTCAAAGGGATTCGCGAAAAAAACCCACAACACGATGGAGCGCCCGCGAGCGTGAGCAGCTCGCATCGAGCGGCTCCGTTCGCTGTCTTCACTTGTGTAATGCTCGATTTGTAACACGTTACATTACAGGCAAATGTTACAAGTCAGTCGCCACCTTTAAGCAATTAGAATATGGACAAGGACATATGAACATACATGATGTTATTTGAGCCCTTCTCCCACAAGCTGAGAGCATCATTGGTGTGGTTGAGAATAAGCGCTGGAGCCATGCCAGGGCTGTACAATGAGAACGTGACATAAACAGCTCCTTCTGTCATCTGCACATCAACATTTACACCTCCATACTGAAAACACAACAAGCAGGAACTAGGTAACAGTTACCTTCTGAATGAATTCAAAATATGGCCGTGGGGTGCATAACAAAATCATGCAGATTTTGTGATACAGAGCGTAACCTCATTCAGCAAAGGGCCACATTAACGTATTATGACAAAAAAAATCATTCATATGCATGTACACACATACAAAATAATTCACATTTGACTCAAATGTACAGTAGTTACTTCTAGCTTTGTGAGTTTTTTCCTCCTTCATGTGACCTGTTAATTTACTTACAATTACTTGAACATCTGACATTACAGGTTCTCACAGCAGTGAAGATGTCGCGTATGGTCTTCTATGTTGTGATTCCACACATTCTTATAGATTAGTCGCATTTTGGAGACGTGTATCACCTCCATATTCAGGGCAGAAGGGATTCCATCATCACCTTCATCGTCAGAGCATTTCTGCCTCATAGAGGCAAAAATTTCCTCTAAAATGTTGCTAACTACCCACAAGACCACAGTCAACTATTACTTTACCAATTTTTTCTATTAATTCTCTAAATGTTTGTAATAATGGACTCATTACATTTCTATTATGTTACCAGTATTTAGTCAATAATGTTACTACACAATGTATAAAGTACAGTAAGATGTACCTTGTTGAAAAGTTTCAGCATCGTGGTGTGGACTGTGGAGTAGGAGAAGGGAGCCGACATATCAGAGGTATCTTGTATTCTCACTCTCATCTCCTTCTTCTGGTCCTTGCTGCGAGGCCACAATGGACTGCATTCTCCAGGTTTCACCTATAACATGACAATCACATTATGGAAGATAGATAAACTCCAACATCCAAAAAGCTATTTTCATGATTAACCCTTCATAGATTAGTGGTTAACTGTATATGCTACTTACTTTAACATTCAGATCCCTCCTTGTCACTCTGACAAAGTTTATAAGTCATCTAAAACGTGTAGGCACTTGAGGGAGAGGCTACATAGCACCTACTCACTCCTAACCTTAGCACTAGATATGGGTGAGTAGCCAGCGTCATGCCCCGGCTGGGTTTTACCCCCGAGAGAGGACCCTAGTACCCACTGGATGGGCCCCAGAGAAAACTTGGATGCAGGGGCTAGAGGAAAATCCTCTGCCCGTCAGGGATCAAAAGTGTTATCTGATTCTCAGAATAAAGAGCAAACATTTTCCTAAGATCATTAAAGCAGTTACATTCATAACTGTGATGTGGTACGTTCCGAGGCAAGAAATGTATTTTTTCAAATATTATTTGGATGAGTTGCCCTTTGAAGGGTTAATCATGAACAAAAAATGTGACCTCATTAATAAACAATATAATATAATGTAAAGCTTAGAAAATAATATGAGTATGCAGCACTTATAACACTCTTGAATTGAAACACTAAGCACCAGCCCAAATCCCTCAGAAAGACAATGACTTATAGAAACCCCCAACAAGCAAATATAATAGATGACTTACAGTAATGAAGCAGATGAATCGATTACTGCACCACTAACATCAGTGTCTGTATTGAAACTACAGTTAGATTTGTTATGATCATTACAGAATTGTACTTGTAATACCAAATCTACGTTATCATGGGTATTCAGTGCGTGAATTTAATTTATTTTTAAAAACTGCATGATCATCATACCCATTCTCCCTAAAACTTATGTATCTAAATTGAATTTTATTAGTGTAACATTATCCAAACATATTTAGTATACCATTATATACACGATAATGTAACGGAAACAATAATTTTTTTAGACAGACTAAAATGGACAATTACTAAATCCCTGCACAAGAACAGCAGAAAGTTATAAGCTTCAAATTGTATTCCAAATTCCTTATTAACTGTGTTTTATAAGATATTTGGGAACGTCAAATACAAACAAGAAATGCACAGTAAAAACTGTGATGGCATTTCACTTAATGAATACTTTGATTTAATTAAAATCCACGTATCATTCAGAACAGGAAACGCATCAGACAAATGCTTACCAATAAAGACTTTACTACAGATTTAATTTTATCAAATTTTTATTGATTTCTAAAGTTTTTAATTAGTCTAACTAATTCCATACAAAATTCAATGAGAATGTTGTAGAATGTTACACAAACTTAATTATGTTTCACACAACTAAAATGTGCTCGATTCAAATCCACTGAGCTGCTCGCTTTACCGTTGTTTTAAACAGCGTTACATGTTTTTGTATTACCGTGTTCCTTCCACCCCTGTGGAAATTCCTCCTTATTCTAAGTAGTATTAACAGAGGACGAAGAACTGTTAATAATAAATATTAACCACTTCACCAGTGCTCATATCAAGTTAAAATCCCAAATAGGTTTGTAACTAGAAATTAAGTATTGCACTAACTTCATGAAGTAAAGCCCATCTTGAGAAGTCGATATGAATTAAGTATTTATATTTCATAACTTCTCTATTCAAAACCTGAGTACTTCTAGCTCATGAATTTTTATTTCTAGGCTACCAAGTTTTACCTTGCACAAACTAATCAATTTACTATGCAATACATGACAATAATTATGACTGGTATAGATGATCGGTAATTTCTGCCAGTCCAAAGCACAGTTTACCTTAATCCAAGGGTCAGCAGGTCGATCTGCCTCTTGACATTCTATAATGTAGCTGGCATTATTCACCAACACATAGTATGGCATGAATATCACCTGCTTCGTTAAAGTTGAATGAGTCAGCTGAATATGTACACCAATCTGTAGACATACATACAATAAAACACCCAAGTTCTGTTAATGTTAGAAGCTTAATTTTAAAGTTCTCATTTGTGAATGTCGCCAATTACAGAGTCCAGTCAGTAAGTTTTTAGAAAATAAAAACATGCTTACAATGTGACGTTAAATGTAACATGATTTTCTTAAAATTTACATGAAAGCTATTTATTCTTTCAGTAATCTTCCAAGGACATTCTCAAACAAAATATAAATACAACTTAATACATAAATCATATATAATGAAGCAGTTTCTTACAAAATTTCTGCACTGATCACTCAGTGCCTTCTGAACTGTCACAGCCAGCCCACATACAATTGTTTCTTCATTTAGATTACCAGATAAACTTTCGCAACTATAAAAATGGGCACAATTTTGCTTTTAACATCAGAATTACTCAAATCTATTTACTTAGCCTAAAAGAAAGGCTGGCTCCTTTGTGATTTAATCATGACAAAGTAAGATTTGAAGTTTTCATGGTAGTGAGTCAGAAGACAGCCATCGAAGGTATTTAATGATGCTACATCAGCTGAGTGAAGTTATGTAGTACTGAATGCAATGAAAGCAACAATGAATCAAGAGTTTAAAGCTTTGCGGCAGAAACTAATCGTCGCCTACTTTTAAAATAATCTTCCAGCCTTTGCCTTCAGTGACATATAAACCTTTGTTCCAATGGGAATTTTCAACCAAATATAAAGGTGTCAAATCAACTGCATTTACATGAAGACAATACCTGGTAGGTGGTGTCTCCTGTGGTGCAACTGACCACACCTGAACTGCCAGCAACATCCAAAGAGAACTTGTCTGACCATTCACCATCTTCAACTTTGACTGACGCTTTCTTCTTCCCAAAGAATGACTTAGCTCTGAACGAGAACAGGATAGGGCCCTTCAAGTCCTCAGGATGATAAATTACATTAGCAGTCTCTTCAGATTGCTGTAATTTATGAAAAATCAACACATCAACATTATAAGAAAAATAATAACTGCATTTCAGTACAGAAGCCAAACAATATTGCTATACACAGTGAAGACAAGTGAAAGAAAGGAACTCTTACCTATGGACAGAAAATACAGTCACTCTATTGGGAAAAACAAACTAATCAGGAACAAATTACTTAGTAACAACAATAATTATTTTATACTAAGTAATTTTATTCATGCCGACTTCTACGGCAGAAATTTTTGGAGGGTGTCATACTAAAAAGTATGTTATGAAGTCACACACATGGCAAAGAAATGGGGACTTAACAAGGGGAAACATACACCATGTCAAGAGACCAAAGACACAACACTACAGCCATGGTGAACGCTTTTACACAACTATATCTTCATACTCACCGCTGTGAGAACCTCAAGTCTTATATATCTGAACTACTGGTGTACTGATATTTAAACGTCCTGCTTAATGAAAATAATAGTAAAAACTACTTTTACTTTCACATTTCCATTTGCATGCACACAGACAACAAATCTAGTAGTAACTGAGGTTAATAGTTAAATTGTTGCAGAGGAGAGAATAATATTGCTTGACATAAAGTGACATTTACAAAAATGTTATATAAGACTAGAACAATAATGCCAAATATTTACAACATACTTGGCCCAGGATAGGGTCCAGTGGAGGGCTTTGGTTAGTATGGTGATGAACATTCGGGTTCTGTAAGCCATCTACTTACTTCATACCAAATGCAGGAAAACATAGTATAATCAAACACCAATATTCCGACTTAAAGAGCATTTAAATTAACTGGTCAGAATACACTGCACTTAAATTATACACAAAAGATTAAAGTTTCACTCATTTTAAACTGCACCAGTGAGATTAAATGCTCACCCACCTTCCGAGCACAGTAAGTTAATCACATTCAGCATTAACCACATTATATGTAATTCGTCAGTGTTAGGCAGACTACCAAAACTTCAGAATTAAACATACCAATCCTCTTACCATTGCATTAATGTAATGGCGAGGTTGAGGTAAAATAATTAAAACTGAAGACCTGAAACAAAAGGACATTAGAGCAAAACTCAAAACTGTGAAACAGCAGATGTGAATAAACTTTGTCATCAGGCAGCACATTACCTGCTTAAGCTTTCCTTGGTTCATTCCGCACTGTTTTTTACTTCATGAAACAATAAGTGGGAAGCAAGACGCAGAATGTAACTTTGCGAAAAGTAATGTAATATTGTTAAGGGCGGCCCAGACATATTTTAATTTCAAAAATAATTTACTTTCATCATGACGGATTGAAAATACAGTTAGTGGAATACTCCATTACATAATCATCTTTCAGAAACTACATACCACAGATTCATACTAAAATTACAAGAACAAACATAAAAATATACATAAATAGGCCTGTATATCACATTCCACACATCACTGTATATGACTGGATAATAAAATAAGATTCTACAATTGGAATTATATGGTTTAAATACTTGAGATATATTTTTTTTTATTTTCCTCATGATGGTACAAGTTCCATGTGTGGGATTTCTATTCAAAACTCTTAAATGTTGCATACCAAAATATAAGAGAACATTATGCGTGTTTTAATGACTACACTGATTCTGTTACAAGTAGAAAGAGTACACAAACGGCCAAGTATTCAAATTCTTTTCAAGAATCACCCAAGGGTTACACAGGTGTTTCAAGGAATTTTAATTCCCGAACTACACTAGTTACAGGCAGTATTGCATCTAAAGACCAACACCAGACAGCGATCTGGTTGTACAATGGGAAAACCAACGCCCTACATACAATATATGACGTATAAGATACAGAAGTTATCCTTCCAGTAAAGGAATCAGAAAATGTTTGAGGACAGGGCCTGCACTAAATTCCAAAATTCCCTGCTGGCTACAGTCTGTCCACATCTGTCATTACAGCAACATACGAAATTAATAACAGTTTTAAACGGAGCTTCACACCAACCACACACAATCCTAGAAGAATGTTACTCAGTCAACAACATGCTCAGAGTGAGATACTGTACAAGGCACTCCAGAAACCCACCACCGCAGCAGTAGCAGCTCCCGTCACAGCCGTCCCAGCTGCCACTGTAACCTCTCTGTTCAAATTCACTGCTGAAGATGACTTGCCATTAGAGAGACTAAGATTCGATGCCCAACGCTGAAAGTATATGTTAAGTACCACAGAAGACGTAGTACACCAAAAGCACAGAATATATTTTACAGTGATAGTGCCTAAGCAACTGAATGGTTAGTCTTTTGTAACGGTCTAGCATTCCAGAATAAAACTTAGTATGGCTAAGCTTCAAATAAACAGAAAGACTCTCACAACACTATTCCAGGGAGGCGGCACTCAGACAGCCTATATCCCATTAATATATTTAAAAACAAAACTAGATGTTCTTCCTCATTTGATTCTGTCCGTGGGTACCTAACACCTAGAGACTAATCCAAGTTTAGGGTAAATAAAACTTTCAAGGTTATAATTAGACTTCCCTTTAACTTTTCTTTGCCCATACTCTGTAACTTTCACACTAATGTTGATCACTGATCTGTTATGTCATTTGCAGATTTTACTTTATAATTTTTTATCCTGTTATTTTTAGTGCTTGGCTGTAATTGGCCTAACATGGCTGCTGTCAAGCACATAAATTATTCATGTTATTATTACATCATGCAGTACATAGTGAAGCACTGATAAATGCATAAATGCCTATGCAATGTTTGGGTACCAGAACTTTATCATATACATTTTATAGTTTAGATGCGTCATGTTTGTGTTTTCAATTCATACATATATTTATTCTTCAAGTCTATACACAAACTATATTAATATTGATGTTAAAAATTAAAATTGATATAAATATTTCGCGCTATTCATCGTTTCCTCGATGTTACATGTATATTTTATTAAATCTTATACTTTCGATGTCTCAGCATCATCTTCAGGTTT